ATCTATTGTTTTTATTATTTTATTTTGAATAAAACAATTATAATATTTCTAAATGTTTCTTCAATGTATTGTAATTGAAAATAAGAAAAGAGAAGAGTGAAATAGATATAATCATTTCAATGCAAATACATACAATAAATAAACAAACATTTTACAACTCACACTTTGTTGTAAATGTGTTGCAAAAAAAACACTACCGTTGGCACATTTTTCTTGCTAAATATATTTACTGTAAGAGACAGCTTTGGAATTTGGGAGATGCAGACAACAGGATGTTTGATGCTAGATGAAGCCCAGTTTCAAACGTTGCATAATGTCCTTGTTATTGTTTATTGTTGTTGAGCTGATGACCAGAGACAGTCGTCTGTGTGTCTGCTCAAGTGACCTGCACTGACCCCTGCAGTGATTTATTTCTGGAACTGGTGGAAAGTAATTTTATTTTACTTTAGTATGTGTAGCCTACTTTATGCGTTTCTGTTTTATGTATGCTACTGTATACTTGTAATTAATTTCCGAGTGTTTTCTGTACTCTATGTACTCTATATTAATCTGAAAGCCGAAAAAAGAAAAGGATATCATATAGAAAAGTAGATTAAAAATACTTGGATTGTTAAAGATGGTCACCCCCTTATGTATCCTTGTCCTTGTCCTTATCCTTATGTACCCTTAATGTATCAACCACAAATATAACATATTTAATTTTATACATATCTTTTGTTTTTATTCTTTGCGCTCCCACATTTAATGGCCTCTAAGATGTATTTTGTAACATGTTGGAGAGGACATGATGTTATATGAGGTAGTTATGATCTACATATATTATATGTCTATTTTTTAACAGTATATTATTATTATCATTATTATTTTCTTTCCCTTACTTTAAAAAAAATGTTTTCTTTGTTATCATATATTTTTTTAATATATATATTTTTTAATTTGTTACAATGTGGCTATTTTTTGTATCACTGTCACTGTGTGTCTTTTGAATCACTTTATTCACATTTGTATTATTATCATTATTAATTAATTAATTAATATGATATCATACGTTTTAGTATGGTCATTTGTATTGCTACAGTCATAACTGTGTCTGCAGCAGCTGTGTGTGCGCGCAGGGCCAGCCCAGCAGTTTGTGGACAGGGAGATGTGTCCACGCCTTCTTCATCCCATCAGTCCTGTGCCCGCATTCACTCCGGCCACACATTGACTGCTAACAAGGTAAGACGCCACTTAAGCTTTTTTTTTTTCAATGAATTAGTATTTAAAAATTCACTATGAGGAAACGCATTAGTGATATAGTTTCAATCCCGGAGTCAGCGCGTCTCTCACAAAATGTGTGTCTCCCGGTCAATCCACTAAAGATCGTTTTGTCGTTAGTCTTTTCAAAGTAAAAGCGCATCCGTCCACGATTCAGCTGCTTGCACTCAATTGCGTCCGTATATCAGCTAAGGGCCAGCTTATTGCTTTCTTATCGTTAATTGTTATTGTTTCAAGATGATCACAAGACGCTGTTAAAGTGACACACTTGCTGCGGGAATGAAACCCCCCCCCCCTTCTCCCCCCTCTTTCTCTGTCTCTCACACACATACCCACACACACACGCACGAGCTGTTCTATAGGTTATTCTGTATGAGCTGGATTTTTGCTTGGCCAAAAAGTTGTGTGTTTTCTACATTTGTATTTGTAATTGTTCTGTATTTGCTCTAAAAACTAAGTTCCTCTCATTGATTTTGAGTATTTACCATTATACACCAAGGCACATTTTATTTTAAGTGTTAACATACTTGACAATAAACCTTTTATTGAATGCAGGTAACATCAGCTAATAGTTGTATTATATGACCCACATTAATATTTGTAAAATATTTATGAAAATGTTAAATGTTGTTGTTGTTTGTGTCTCTCATGGAGTATCAAATCCATATTGGTATTTTCCACAACAGCCTGAACACGCCCAAGTCTAATTATACAGCATCTAATCTTGGACTATGCCTTACACAGTAGAATAATTAAATTTATCATACTGCACTCTGATCCTTGAACCCAACTCCATCAACCCAAGAAAAAAAGAAAATAATTCATAATAATATTAATTCTGTAATAGACTAAATCATTTTATATTACAGCACACCACACTGTTTACTGACACGGGAGTCATTGTGAAGGAAGTCAAATGATTTACTTAATCTATTGTAGCCAAGGGTGATTGAATGTTTAGACCCGACCCTGAGGCCCTAAGTTTGGACATGGCACATTTTTATTTTGACGTTGAAGCTAAAAAATGAATCTCTGGCTTAGAGCATACAATAGCCTTAACTTTTTTAAATAATCTCGACTATTTAATTGTTTTTATTTGATAATATTAAAGAGACCCTTGTATGCTTTTGATGTTTACCCTTTTCTGTATTTTCTTTTATCGGTTTTTGTGCATGTAAAGTTCTGCAAAGGCCAAAATCCCTGTGTTCCCTCGAATAGGCTGTATTTTAAAATCTGAAGATCAATAATACAAAAATTGTTGTTTGTGCCCTTTTTTCCCTTCCCAGGATTTCCCATGGCGACGATCGCTCCGTGTACACACCTCGCCTTTCTTCTTCTGCTGCTGCCTCATTTCCTGGCGGTATCACTCGCCAATCAAGATGACCTCCTGGTCGACACTAAGCATGGGCAAGTTCAGGGAAAGCTTCTCTCAGTGCTAGGTGGGGATGTTAGAGCGTTCCTGGGAATTCCTTATGGAAAACCACCTGTGGGGAAACTGAGGTTCAGAGCTCCAGAGCCAGTGGACAGATGGGAACGCGTGAAGGATGCCTCAAACTTCCCAAATTCCTGCTACCAGTCACCGGATACTTCATTTCCAGGTAGGCCACACGTTTGGTCACAATTTATGAACTGTATATTATGGTGTACTTGCAATATGGACTATTCAAGTGTGACTCCTGAGTCAAATCCTTGCCAAAAAGTGGTGCAGCGATTACAAACACCTGCTTGAAAGGTCAGCCAGTATTTGATGACTCACCAGGACTACACAGCACCCCTGAGTCCTACAATAGTTATTAGATAATATTCATGTTATTATTATTTATGTGCAAACACAATCTGTACACAGTTTGTTATACAAGGTCTTCACTTGGTGCAAGGTTTTATTTTTCACATTTAGTATTAGCAAAAAGGCTAATAAATGAAGTAGTGGAGGAATGCATGTACAGTGCAGTGTGTTACAGTGCATGTACATAACCGAGTGCACGGTGAGAAAATAGCGAAATGCCAGAGCTTTAGCTGTAAACTGCTCAGCAGAATGTGTCCCTCTATAGCAGTTGAACTTCCAAACAATTGGATAATTCACAAAGACGAAAAAAAAAAGGTCCTAATGGATGCAACGGAGGTCGAGGTATTTGACTTTTAGCCCCTTTCAGAATATTTCAAGCTCTGAAAACATTGGATCCCACACTAAAAAAAAGCTAATTTCATAAAGCTGTATATTTCATATGGTTTGTAGCAGAGGACCTTTGTTTAAATGTCATCCGTGTTTCTCAGTCCAGTCCCCAAATAACCTAGTGACATCATTAGGATAACAACTGGGGTGATTTTCTCAGACTCAGGCTAAATGCATACACATTCATTTAAGTCCCCTGTTTTTATTACATTTATAGTCAGATATACTAACATTAACATTATGAAAAAAGCTACGTTTGTAAGTGCTTGTTTACAGAACATACGGCTATGATGCTCTAAAACAGGGGTTCCTTTTCAGCTCGGGATCCACAAGAGAAATTTCCCCTTTCAAAAATAAACCTGTGAATTGTCATGCCATCTGTATTTATAAACCACTGGCAATGGACGCAACAAACCATGCATTTAAAATGAATGTGAAATTCATATACTGTAAAAGTGCATCACAGCAATAAAGAAATTACTGAGCTTAGTGTAATGCTAGGTTTCTTGCTCACTCGGAAAATAATGTGCACACAATTTTGTAACACTTTTAAATTAACAAACATAGTCCAGTCTAATTTATATTCCTCACCCTCTTTCTCAGCCCTTAATTTGTTTTCCCTTCTCAAAACCTGAACATTAGGCAACAATCTAAATAATTGTTACCATTTAATTTCAAAATGAGATTGGCCACAATGCAGGGGTCATTGAAAGTCACCATTCTCACTAGACATTACACTCACACACAAATGTATTGAACAAAAACATTTCTAAGCTAACAAAAGTAAATAAATTCAGTAAATACATCACAATTATTGCAATGTTACCGAAAGCAAATCTTAATGTATGTTTCCACCCAGTGATATGAATGCGGTCTCTACCCCTCTAATAATCCCATGGGCCCCAAAGGACTGCATGTCCGATCGTTAAAAAAAGATGCCCTTCAGACCCCTTAAATTAGGATATGGGAAGAGGTTGTTATGTAACACCATACCACAACCCCAACACACACACACATGCACGCACGCACACACACACACACACACACACATGCACACACATACCGTAGATGATAGCACCATTTATTACTTTATAGTAGACGGTTATACATCTTGGAAATGAATGGTAAGATAATATTTTGAGCCAATTCATCAAAACAAAACCATTCTACTGATACATAAGCACATAAACACAGAAAAATGGAATTCGATACAGGCGTTGTACCCCACCCAAAAAGGTCCTTTGGGTTTTTGACTTATGGCTAGGGGCATTGACACATAGCTATTTGTGGACTCAGCCATATGTCAGGGGTTGTCTGATAGCCAACCAGTGCCAGACATACGAGAAAACTCCCACATTTTACTCCAAATATAGATATGACACACAGATAGATATGGCCAGAAGGCATTGATGTTGGACGGCTGTTTGGACAAATTGGGGCTAATTAGCAGGAAAGCAAACAAGTCTTTATTTATTTATTCTTTCTGCTGTTTGTCCTGAATTAGTTAATCAAATAGAAGTGGTACTTCAAGATAAAATCTTATCTCAAAATTGCTTGCAATTAAGTGTCATAATGAAGGTGAACTTTAACTTACTGTATGACTGATCACACAAGTGTGTTTAACTCCAAACATCTGAGATAAGAGTATCTATCAATTACTAGACTGCAGCCGTTGGGACATCTACTTAGTATTGGAGAAAGTACAAATGGAAACCAATACTTCTTTAGTCTCATTATTATTTGGGGTGTTACTTATTTATTTTAAAGGTATGTGATTGGGGTTGAGCACAGGATAACAATACCCATTCTGTTTGCATTATAGGACTTGATTTCACGAACTATTCATCCATATTATATATTTTATATTAGCCTTTGATCATTTATTTAAAAAACACTGCAACCTAAACATCAAAATAAAAGTTGAAACCTGTAGTTTGACCTGTATGTGTTAATTTCCTCCCTCAAGTCAAGCTGTTCAGTTTACTACACGTTATAAAAACATTTGCTGTATTCTTTTTGCACCCCGCCGAGCGCACAACAGGCTTACAGTTAACCATTCTAGGCTTTCACTCACCAAGCAGGTGTCATTTGTGAGAGCTAGAAAGATCAAAGAATGGCGTGGCAGCTATATTTATTTCAAACCCCCGCAGCCTAGACAACACAATAAATGTTAAAGCCTGTATTTTATCAGCTGTATTTGTATATCATTTTCTACATTAACAAAACCTGTCAAAACATATAAAGAAAAACATTTACCTTATATGTCAGTGAATATTCATCTCCTAGTTCAAAATAAACTGGGATTTATTCAGCTTTTAAAGCATTTTTAGATGATAAATGTAATTAGACAGACAGAAAGAGATGACAAGTGCAATATGAGGTTGTGGAAATAATTACGCCAATATGAAATCAATATGATGGAGAAACTATTGCATTGCGAATGAATGATAATTAATAAAATATCACATTTGCCATATATAACTTGACTTCCAGAATAATCCACGCCCCACTTTCATTCTTAAAATACCGTCATGATCATTTCTGTGGTTGAACCGATAATGACTTCTCCGTACTCCTGCATTACAGGTACAATCGTTCAGTTGTTACCTGGATCATTATTGTAATCTTTTCCAGGGTTTGAAGGATCAGAGATGTGGAACCCAAACACTCCTGTCAGTGAGGACTGTCTGTACCTCAACGTCTGGTCCCCACGATTCAACAAAACTCAATCCAAGCCCTCTCCGCTGGCTCCAGTCCTCGTCTGGATCTATGGGGGCGGGTTCTATTCAGGAACTTCCTCTCTGGACATTTATAATGGTCGCTTCCTGACTAAATCCGAGGGTGTTGTTGTGGTATCAATGAATTACAGGTAAGGACTGAAATAAATGGAAACGTTTTTTTAATATGATTGGGTACACTTTTGGTAATTAGCAATGTGGTGAATGTGTGCTTATGGAGATTGTATGGTAAATCAATAGGTGGTTTTATGCTGTCAACATCTGTCCTTATTCTTGTGCAGACTCGGAGCGTTTGGCTTCCTGTCGATTCCTGACAACAAGAACATCCAAAGCAATGTAGGCCTGCTGGACCAGCGCCTGGCGCTCAACTGGGTCGCCAACAACATCGCTGCTTTTGGAGGGGATTCTTCACAGGTAAAATGGTTTCGCCTTAAAAATCAGACAACAAGATTTGTCAAAATTGTTGAAACAAACAAACTTTTGTTTCCAGGTGACTCTGTTTGGAGAGAGTGCTGGGTCAGCGTCTGTTGGCTTACACCTGCTCTCCCCGGGCAGCCAGAGTCTCTTCCATAGGGCTGTGATGCAGAGTGGCTCTCCTAATGCACCCTGGGCAACGATCAGCAAGGAGGAGATCTGGCGCAGGTAGGGTGTATTCGATTATTCACCCGCTTTTCACTCCCTCCCTCCGTCATTGCTATGTCATGGTTATTTAAAGTTGAATTGGTGGTTTGAAGCAAACAGAACTGAATGAAACAGAACATAAAAGGACGGAAAATAATAGTAAATAACAGAAAAACATGTTTTACGCCATACAACGTCATACAATAATCCAACCAAGAATAACACCTGAACTTTTGAAACAACATCCACAACATTAATCTGGCTGCAATTTAGAAATGATGTATCCAATATTTCATGTTCAATCACTTGCATATAGAGACTCTTATTGCACTATTTCACTTTTTCACAATTTTTCTTTTTGTATTTACTTTTTTCAGTTTTTTCAGTTTTATTGTGTTGCACTGTTGGAAAAGCCTGTGACCTACTATTTTCATTGACATAACTACACTGTAGCTATGTTTGCATAACCAATAGAAGCCTTGAACCTTGAACCTTGAACCTTGAATAAACAGAAAAACCACGGCGTAAACACAGTCTGAACTATTGAGAGTGCAGGGAAGGTTAGGTGGTTGCAGTGTTCATTGGAACACGTACAACTATTATCAATCACAACAGATGGGAAAACTCACAAGGACTGAAAGGGAAAGTATACATGACAAAGGAAGAACACTTTTCATAAATACAACAGGAAACACCAAGATCATAACACTCCCTCTCTCATGCCGATGTATTCCTTCTGTCTCTTGCCTTGCTCTCTCTCTGCATCAACATCAAGGTCCATGAAGCTGGTGACGTTACTGGGGTGCCCCACGTCCCCTCCGGCTGATATGGAAGCTTGTATGCGAAAGGCCGATCCTCAGCAAATCTCATTGGATCAATTCAATGTTCTCGGACAAACTTCATTCTTTGCACCAACCTTTGCTCCTCATGTTGATGGGGACTTCCTGCCAGATAAAGTTGAAGTAGGTGTGTGTGTGTCTGTGTCAAGACGTCAGTAGGCATATAGACATCTAACAACATTGACTTAACTGCATGCATGTCAAATGAAGTTTACTGGTTATATAGCACACAAGTCTTAGACACAAATTGAAAAGCATATTGTGTCACAATCCCCTTTTGTTTTTTCTGTGCAGGTTTTGCTTAGCACCGGCAAACTTCCAAAAAAAGAGGTCCTATTTGGTTTAAACAAAGACGAAGGGACCTACTTCCTAGTTTATGGATTGCCTGGGTTTAACGTCCCCGGTCAGAGTCTCATCACCAGGAATGAATTCCTAAAAGGAGTGGCAATTGTAATGGCAAATGCAAGCAACCTCACAAGAGATGCGGCCATTTTCCAGTACACTGAGTGGGCAGATGAGAACAACAGGATGAAGAATCGTGACTTGCTGGGAAGTCTGGTTGCAGACCACCTGTTTGTTTGTCCTCTACTAGAGTTTGCTCAGAGGTAATTCTCAACACATCCAAGATGTATCTATGTATAATATACTAGATGTACTGCATGTATATGTTTTGCCAGCCTGTCCTTTTTTCTACAGTCTACTGTTGTTAAGTCTTTACTGCAGGGTCGCATAATGGCCAAATGTATGTCTGAATATGCTGTAGCAGGAACAACCACAGAAGCAGTTTGGAAAATGTTGCCAAGTTCTTACAATTGTTTTACATTTAAAATATCTTCTTCTAGTATTTCAGTGTGAATTTAGGATTAAGCCACATTGCATTTAACTTTAAATATTATGTTTAAAACAGGGTTAGGGTTCTCCTTTTATTCATTTAACTTTATAAAAGTAAACTTGGGGGAAATATACTAAACATAAGTAGAATTATACAATGAACATAAAGAAACAATTAAGCAAATATATTCTAATCTTCATAGAATATGCACTTGCATCTATATTTGATTTGCCAAAGCAGCATCAGTCTTTTTAATACATTAAGCACCTTTGTACCAGTACCTTACTCCTATCAAAAATATAATAGTCAATGTTTGTTTCTTGTGGCGGCTACATAGTATGTCTATTATATTTCTCTCATTAATCTGATCTAGTGCAGCGAAAACATTTTTAATAATTCATTTTTTTCTCCCCAGCTACTCAAACCGTGGCGGTAAGACTTTCCTCTATTCATTCGACCACCAGTCATCTGCAAACCCATGGCCAAAATGGATGGGCGTTATGCACGGCTATGAGATAGAGTTCGTCTTCGGTATGCCTCTGAACGCATCCCTGGGATACACGAAGAATGAAGTGAACATGACCAAGAAGTTTATGAAACACTGGGCCAACTTTGCCCGAGTAGGGTAAGCATAATCATCTGGCACTGTTGAAACCTTAATGGTACTATGGTCGAAATGTGTTGATTGGCTTTTCTCTTTTTTAGAAATCCAGGCCTTGATGGAGCTAGCTGGCCCGTGTTCACCCCTGAAAAGCAGGAGTACGTCACTCTGAACTCCAACCATCCTGAACAAAGGAATATGATGTTAGCTAGAGAATGTCATCTCTGGAAAAAACTAATACCAAAAGTACAAGGAGTCTCAGGTTAGACATCTCTTTATCTATCTATCAACTATACCCCTCTCTCTCTCTATCGATCTATCCATACTGAACATCCATCCAACTAGCCATCAATGTATTCATCCATCTATCCAACTATCAGCTATCCGTCCATGAATTGATCCATCCATACATCCGTCCATCTGTCCAACCATCTATCGACCAATAATCCATCCATCCATTTGTCTGGTCACCCACCTACTGTATACATCCATCCCTCCTTAAGTCTATCACACATCCATGCACACATCCATGCACACACACACACACACACACACACACACACACACACACACACACACACACACACACACACACACACACACACACACACACACACACACGGAGCGAAAGAAAACAGACACAGATAGAAACAGACATGAACAAAACCTAAAAGGCACAAGGCAAAGGAAGATAGCATAAAAGAAACACAACAACAAAACACCATCACAAATGTTGTTTGAAAACGAAAATCAATGTAATCATCACATCATTTTGAATTTAAGATAAGCCTATATCAAATTGTATTTATTATTTTACAGCTTGTATAATTGTGCAGTAGCTATGCTGATTTTTTTATTCATTTCAAGTTATGTGTGTGTTAAAGGGGGAAAGATGTCTTGTTTTGTATTGGTGGTATTCTTTACATTTAGTCAAATATTAGTGATTAGTAGTGAGTTGTAGTTTGTGAAAAACCTGACACCAGATGAGCCATGCCAACACTTATTGTCTGAGCTTATGCCAAAGTTAACAAACAGAAATCAGAGAGCAAGCTAAAGGTGGGACAAACCATGAGGTGCCACAGAAGGAGGCAAGGCCCCATCTCCCTGCCTGATGGTATTGGGTAAGAAATGGAGAGCAGACTGCAGCTGCAGACATTGGTTATGTAATTATCTCATTTACCAGCCTTTGTGGTATATGTCATTATTGCACGGTTGAATATTAAAGTAAAATCTTCCAACTATGCTTTGTGAAGACAGCCATAAATCTGTGCCTCTGGGGTTTAGGGTTATATATCCAATGCTGTTAGACTCAAGCAATTATCGAGGAATGAGATGAGTACTGCCGTGTCTATATTAATAGTCCTAGCACCATGTAATAAAACAAAAGATTATCATTATCAAAAACTGATAAAGCGGCATCAAATGTAGGTTCACACGTCTAACAAAACCTTGTCATTGCCTTGAGATTTATAGGTTGTGCCTAAAGTCTAGGAAATATCAGATAACACTACAGTCCTATATGTGATAAAGTCTAAAACTACCACCACCGAGACCTGAAAAAGCTTGCAAGGGCCATCACTCAAAATACACAAGTAATCACAGACAGAATCACATCACAGAAAGAGAGGGAATAAGATAGACACGAGCAAGAGAGAGTCACAGAGAGAAGAGGAGGGAAGGAAAGATAGCGAGAGAAGAGACTGACCTTAAAGCTGACCCCTTCCTCAGAAATCACCTGCATAACAAACAACAAGTTTAGACACACTGACTCCTCTCTGACTGGATGGGAAGACTGGGAGGGAAATGTGCACAAGAGTGTGTTGGCGAGAACCAATACATGATATCTGGATGACCGCGTGTGAGAGAATGGAGTGATTTCACCACTGCATGTTGAGAACAGACGATGCATGGGGGGGGAAACGCTTTCCAAAAAGTGATACCTCAACGCCATCAGAATACTTGTGATCTGTTAACAGACTATTTTCTATTTGTCTCATCAATATGCAAAATCATCTTGAAGCACAGCAAAAAAAGAGACAGGAAAAATGTGAAAGCTTCCGATCAACTGAATAAGCAACATTTATGCTCCGCTGGCGCCATCGTCTGGTAACTTTACCACATAACCACGACAACTCCCTCCTTAACTACAACCACGCACAGTACAGATATCAATTAATAGACACAGTATGAACACAACAACACAATGCTATAAAAACAAGCGTGGAGAAAAGGAGAGGAGAGGAGAAGAGAAGAGAAGAGAAGAGAGGAGAAGAGAAGAGAAGAGAGGAGAGGAGAGGAGAGGAGAAGAGAAGAGAGGAGAGGAGAGGAGAGGAGAGGAGAAGAGAAGAGAGGAGAGGAGAGGAGAGGAGAGGAGAGGAGAGGAGAGGAGAAGAGAAGAGAAGAGAGGAGAGGAGAGAGGAGAGGAGAGGAGAGGAGAGGAGAGGAGAAGAGAGGAGAGAAGAGAAGAGAGGAGAGGAGAGGAGAGGAGAAGAGAAGAGAAGAGAAGAGAAGAGAAGAGAAGAGAGGAGAAGAGAAGAGAAGAGAAGAGAAGAGAAGAGAAGAGAAGAGAAGAGAAGAGAAGAGAAGAGAAGAGAGGAGAAGAGAGGAGAGGAGAGGAGAGGAGAGGAGAAGAGAAGAGAGGAGAGAGAAGAGAAACTGAGTTATA